GGTGTCTCTACCAGTCAGCTAGGGCTTATGAGGCTTGCATAAACCCCTTCCTTCTAAGCCGAAATTGCTGTAAACATCTCTTACGCATTGAACTTAATAATAATCATAATTCCACATATTTTATCGTGTCATTACAAAGGCTAGCACGAAGCTGCTGCGACACACGACTGGTTACATCCTTCCATTCCAATCTCCTGCTAACAACAATACATACAATCTATATTCCCTCGTAAGGCACAATAGATCACTGTGGTCGCGGTGCAAGGGCCAAGAAGTCCCACCCCTTATACATTCATACATTCCTTCATATTCCCTCGTAACCGTAACGTAGGGTTACATCTTTAACTGTAGTCTCCCATGTGTATGGGTCACGCGGTAGCATAGTTGGTTGAGGCACTATGCTACAAGCCACAATGTCGTGGGTTCGATTCCTGATGAGGTCATTGGATTTTTCAATTGATCTAATCCTTCCAGCAGCACTATGACCCTGGGGTCGACTCAGCCTCTAACAGATATGAGTACCAGGAATCTTGCTGGTGGGTAAAGGGCGGCTGGCCAGTGAGCCTGACCTCACCTCCATCTGTAAGCCGATTATTTAGAGAAAATGAGAGAGCCTCGACGTCTCACAACCCTATGGGCCTCCACAGCCTGTTACAGGGATAGCTTTACCTTATATTTCCTCATATTTTCAGCTTGTTTGCATTCAGAGAGAACACAAATGGGCTTATGAGTTTAACAATGCTGTCTTATCTGCGTATGTGAATCCGGGTCATAAAGGTAACCGTTCAACTACATCTAGTGACGAGGTCAAAAATGGTCCACTTCCAATCCCCTCATGATGTGGTACTTTACTAATTAAGCACAGGGATACTTAAGGTCTATACATTACAACTCTTCGTGGTTTTAGACCTGGTCGTTCTCAACAGAAGTCGCAGTGAATTAGGCCCCGCCCGCTGACGTAATTGCTTATGCCGGTCACGGTAGCCGAGCGGTCTAAGGAATGCACTGTCTTCGCTCGCTTGGAAACCGGGATCGTGGGTTCGAATCCCACTCAGGGCATGGATGTTTAGTTTGTGTTTGTATGCGTTCTTCTGTGTTTGTGTACAGGTAGAGGCCTTGCGACGAACTGATCACCAGCCCAAGGAATCCTACCGAATGTGTAAGATCTAGAAAGACCGAAGTGAACGGAGAAGTTCATGGAGGTAGGCCTAGGCCCACTGGGGCTGTAGTGCCAAGGGGAAAAATATATATATACTTATAACAGTGCCTCGCCCTCCCTTTCCCTTTTCATATTGTTGATGCAACCACTGCCCTGCTACTCCTTGCCACACTTCACACGCTCAAACCAAAGGTCATGTCCAAATCGTGGCCTATGCTTTTCATTTTTTAATTTCCTTAGTGAGGGGTGGAGTCCAACTGGGTCCACTCGGCACGACGGCCACTGATTGGTCTAATGGCCTATACTTACTGCAATGTCGATGCTAATAACTATCGAACTTACCGGCAGTAGCACAAGAAAATTCAGCATCGTTAACACAAAAATCTGTCATCGTATCCTGCCTTGACTAGAGCATTCAGATCCGTATGTTGGGCTCACTACGCTGTTTAACACTGGCACTCCCAGTTCTGTACCATATTTCGCTTTAGCAGCATGTAAGTGGACGTGTTCAGGCAAGTTTGCATCCCTGTTTGCCTACTAACACTAACTAGCTAACTCACTCGCTCAGCAAGTTATGATTTTACAGCATTTTATGAAACCCGAAAATTCCATACCGTGTTAACGAGAGCCCACCGCTAGTCTCTATCCTGAGCCGGATGAATTCAGTCTATACCACGCCACAATATTTCTCTAAGATCAATTTTAATGTTATCCTACCGCTTACTACTAGATCTTCCCAGTGGTCTGTTTCCTTCTGGTTTTCCTACTCATTAAAACCTTCTGGAGATGATAAACAGATTTTGACGAAATTTGATATAGGAGATTTTTAAGAAAAATTTGCCAGTTCGTTTTATGTTTCATTTAAATCGAACTTTTTTAAGGACAATTTTACATATGTACATACTTTTTCCTCCAAGATTATCGCGACACATACTCAAATTGGGGAAAGAAATTTGAGTGAACGAATTTTATTTTATTTCTTTTCATATTATTGGCTAAGCTTTGGGTATTACCTACAGCATTAACTCCAAGACTACCACAAAAGAATAGTTTATCAATAATATGTTAATATAAACTTGTCAGAATAAGTCATTCTACACGAAAACACATGCTTCAAATTTATCAGTACGACAACGCTATTAAAAAAATTCAAAAGAATTCTTCGATTGTAAGATTTGAGGCTTTCACGGCGGTGACTATAAAGAAAGCAGTCTTCTGGGATTTGGCACCATGTATATGTGGTGTTAACCGACGTTTCGGAGGAACGTATCGCCTCCATCTTCAGGGTAGAAGAAAAAATATAAGAAGTCTGCAAGCGAAGAGACCGTGAGAACCGGTAAAAGCAGACTGTGTTGGAAATATACACAGCTATGTGAGAGCAGAGAAGGAAGGGGGGAAGGGCAAGTATACAAGTGAAAACAGTAGTGTGNAGATGAGAGGTTTCCAAGACTTGCTGAGACCCCCCCCTTCTCTGTTCATATATCCTGGATGCAGTTCAATCTCAATTGCCTCCCTAATAATGCGATCCATATAGCGGGTCTTGGTGGCGAGGATGGAGGTATTCTGAAGCTGAATGCGGTGTCCCAGATCGATGCTGTGTTCAGTGCCTCTGATGATGGTTGTGTCAAACCGAAACATGTAAGGCAGAAATAATAATAAAAAGCGACCTACAAATTGTTACACTCGACGGACTTTCTATTAACTTTCTGTGAAGTAGTTTAGAAACTACATACGTACGAACTACCAGCTTCCTACTAATTCCGCTGTCCTCTATGTTTGCGACTGAAATTCCTACCACACTCTTTTTCCTTACCTCAACAATGGTCTTCAGGAAAACTTCATGGACAACTGCATGCTTCTTATTGATAGAGACTTTGTTTCTGATCAAATGTGACTCTCCTTTAAAGAACCCGTCGAATGGATGTTTTAGTCTCAAGTGAGAGGGAAAATTGATTGCTCTGAAGTTTAAATAAAATGCCAAAGTTAAAACCCACTTAGACTGTGCACAGTAAACTTCCTTATGGAAACATCATCCTTGCATTTATTCTATAGACCGCATTGTACTTCTTGGGTTTGAGAACACACCAGCCTAAGATATGTGTCTTCGCAGGACAGGAGAATTCTAAACAGGAAGAAAGGGATAAAAATTCAGCACCCTTTTCGGGATTCAAACTCCACATATGCGTAACAAATGCGGACGGAATTTAATGACCGTGAATTACTTCCCAATAATCGCGCTGTTGCTTTCCAGAAATGGTATAAGAATTTTACAAAGGTTGATTTTCTGTAAGAAATATTGCTCTAAGTCGAAAACTTTTACTTGATAAGGATCAAATCTTTCAAGATTGAACTTGTCGGTCGAACAAGAATCCAGCAGTGTTTTGTTCTTGATTTCGTTGCACATGCGCTGAAGAGGAATCCAAATATTCACTAGCTGTAGCATTTATTTTTATGTTTCGGAGGAAAAGCAAAGGCAAGGAATCCTTTTTTCATTTCAGCAGCTGTAGTGGCATTTGAAGTGGGCTAAATGTATGGAACAGAGTGAAACAGCAACAGAATAACGGCCACATCGGTGAACATGTGCTGCAGGACTGAGTAGCATCATTACTGTGGATTTGTGGTTTTACAGATGAGACAAGGTCGCTGCATCAACTTCAGAGATTTACTTTTCGTGATACAATATGTGAATTTGAAAAGATTGGAAAGAAATTAGCCTGGGTCCAGTTGAAGGGGTTGTCCAATATCAACATGGAAAGGGCTGAGAAAAACAACACAGTACCTCAGGCAATTCGATTTCTTTGCCGTTATTCCAATCGGGGATGTCCAGATTACAAGTAAGAAGCTTTGCCACCTGAAACAACTTGCTCGGTTCTATTGGTGTTTACCACAAGTATAAAATAATTTTCTGCCCTTCTTGAATAATACTAGCTTGTTCCTTTGGCAGCCAAATTGGGTGTATTTAGACTCTATTTATGCTAATTATGGGACCGCCTCTATGGTCTAGTGTTCAGAGTTCTTGGCTACAGATCTACATGTCCCGGGTTCGATTCCCGGCGCTACCAGATTTTCTGAGAAATAGTGGGTCTGGAACGGGGTCCACTCAGCCTCGTGAGGATAACTGAGGAGCTACTTGAATGGAAATAGCGGCTCCGGTCTAGAAAACCGAGATTAACGGCCTTGGAGATCCATTGCGCTGATCACGCGACACCCTCTATCCACGAATGCTGGCACTAACTTCGCCGACAAGCAGCGGTCTCTCGGTCGGTATAGTTCACTTGCGGACTACAGGCCAGGGTGGTTAGGTTTTTATAGTTTTTTAGTTTATGCTAATTATATGCGCATATTTTTATTGTTAATTTGCTACAGAGTTAAGACTAACTAACTCAGCTATAGTTTAAATAATATGTTCTATATATATGATTTAAGGTTTTGACAATAGTTAGGATCCGTGTTGCTGTCTTCCAGATTAAGATACAGCATAATCTGATATGTGGCCTCCTAGAGTACTCAGTGCCATGTCACAGAAAAGCGCAATGTGACCCATCTTGTTCTATCAGAATTTCTTTTCTGTGCAGCTCGATGGCCGTAAAGTTACCAGTTTGTTCTACCTTCTAAACACGAACATATTTTTTAAATATATATTTAACGATTGCTCGGGAAAGATATCAGTTTTTCCTTCGGAATAGAAGAATCGATTATTTGTTTCAAAAATCTTGCCACCCAAAAATTTAATTGTTTTTATCTCTACTCATTACATTCCTATATGCATCTTTGCACATTACTCTGCTGTATGTACCTCTGCACCCCACTCTGCTCTATGTACAGTATCTCTGCACCGTACTCTGCTGTATGTCTCTACACATTACTCTGCTGTATGTACAGTATCTCTGCACATTACCCTGCTGTATGTACATCTGCACCCCACTCTGCTCTATGTACAGTATCTCTGCACATTACTTTGCTGTATGTACAGTAGCTCTGCACATTACTCTGCTGTATGTCTCTACACATTACTCTGCTCTATGTACATCTGCACCCCACTCTGCTCTATGTACAGTATCTCTGCACATTACTTTGCTGTATGTACAGTAGCTCTGCACATTACTCTGCTGTATGTCTCTACACATTACTCTGCTGTATGTACAGTATCTCTGCACAGTACTCTGCTGTATGTCTCTACACATTACTCCTCTGTATGTACAGTATCTCTGCACATTACTCTGATGTATGTCTCTACACATTACTCTGATGTATGTCTCTACACATTACTCTGCTGTATGTACAGTATCTCTGCACATTACTCTGCTGTGCGCTGTCTTTATGTCCGTACTTTTGTTGCAGTCTGAATATACAGGCACATGTATTGGTATTCCATTTTCAGCCTATACCAAATGAGACTCTGAGTCATCAGGTGTTACTAGTCTTCAACACCTGAAGCACATGTGACAGTTTCTGACACCATAAGTTAGTACATCAACCAAGTATAACTGCTACCCAATTACCTCTAAATATATAAAACATTCCTATATAAATTAATGAAAAAATGAATGTGTGAAGGGTGGACCATAATAACCCAGCCCTTGCACTACGACCTTCAATGATCTATTGGTCTTCCCCATTGATTAACCCTTTATCAATCCTACATTTCGAAAGAAATGTGGGAATTTGTTTATGGGGGCTTCATAGTGACCCAGGTGACGAAATATTAAATAAGTTATGGCTTCACAACCATATAGGATATGTGTGGCTGATTCATCTTCTAAGTACCTTTCACAAGTTGGATCATCTGTCAATCCCAGTTTGAGAAGGTGTCCTTTAATGTGGCAGTGTCCTGTAAGTAGTCCTACCACCTACCTTAATTGGTTTCTGTTTAATTTTATACATACTTCGATCTTCTGGCAGAGGGCCCTGGCATAAGTCCCTTTGTCTGAGTCCAGTTACGGATTCTCAATGCATTTTATTTTTTTGTGTGATTTCTGTTCGTCTGGTTCCTGACTGCTTTCTTGGCAACTCAAACTGGTTCAGGTCCTGTGAACGGCTGTTCAAATTCTGCATATGTAACAGAAACTAATGTAATTCATACTTGTGTATGTCTGTTCTTACCAATCAAAATAGTTATTTTGGGGCATTAGTTATAAGGGACGTATACAACGGTTTAATTTCTTATCGTTTGCTTTTGAAAGCAAAGAGTTCCGGCGAGAAACAGATAATTTTGTAGTTTTCACTTCATAAATGTCCGTGTTCACGGTGTCTTAGCTGCGAGTGAAATACGTATCAACGTCAGTATGTTTGACAATCATATCTCTAACGTTAAACTTTTGGTTAATTCGATTAATCGGTAATTACCATATCTTGTTAGATTCCGTGTTATTATGAACTCGTGCGTCTTCTTCACGTGTTGTGTACGTATTTTCCTTACATTTCTGAGTTGTTTTCTTTTACACTGTATTTCTGTGGCTGTATAACAGGCTTATGCAACAGCTTACAGTAATTCGAATTGCTTTGTGACTGATTAATTAAGCCTTAGAAATTATACTGAAAATGTGAGTTCCATAATTCGGCCTGGAAAACCTAATATTAAAAATTTACGCAATGCTACATGTTACACACAATTTGCATATCTATCTTCATTTTTTTTTTTCCAATTAGCTGCTTGTCTTCCTGCAGATTTACTTATGAATGCGTACGTGCTCTAGCCCGATGTGTCTTCAGACCTGCGTCTGTTGAAAGACAGGGGTATCTCGCCTATTGCAGACAACAGGAAAGTCCTCGGATCGAACGTGATGGACACAGGCGTGTCCTTGCAAGGAGCTACCTCATAGCGGGACAGGATTTGGATCAGTCCTGCCTTGACCTGCATCAACCCAAATCGCAATCCTAGTAACAAATGAAAGAAAACAGTTGTAACGGCACTCGAGATAAAATTGACGCAAATAAGGCAACATTCTTTTCAGATCGTAACCATCGGTACGACCTGAAAATAATATACTCAGAATAGGTTTCCTGGAAAACATCAAGTCAAGTCAAGTGACATTGTTACTGACAGTCAGTCAGTCAGTAAGTCTTGGTGTCGAGCCCCATCTGAGGCTCATGACCAGATATGTATTACTCTTTGACAGTTACGGTCTTGTTTTTATGGGGTGCCCTCTCTAACGAGAGGACGGGTCTGCCTTTTGTATATGCTGCTGGCCCTTGCCAGTGCAATATTTCTCGGGTCTGAGTCCCTTGGGACTCGCGACCATATTTTACTGTTCCAGATTTGAGACTTTCCTTTTGTCGCCTCCTACGACTCGCACGGTCACGGTGGAGGTATTCGACCCCACCTCCACACGGAGGGTGTTGGAAAACAACCCTTTCTTCTTTATTATTTATATTTTTAATCTCAATCAATATTTAAAAACTCTACGAATCTCAACTATTAATACGTTATTGCTTAGTAACCTGTTAGCCAAACATATCAGCATTTGCTGTACCGGGAGGCATATCCTTAATAAGGCGACTCTAGAACAGAACAACAGCGGTTTGACTGCTTGTCCTTACCTATGCATACTCTTGGGCCCTCTCCAAACGGAAAATATGTGTAGTTCGGTCGACTCTGTTTCTTCTCGTCTGTGAAACGTTCCGGGTCGAACTTTTCAGGTTCTGGGTAGTACTTAGGGTCATGCTGGATAGCCATTACTGGAATATATACTCCAGTTCCGGCTGGTAGGATCACTGTTCTCTTTCCGGAAGGGTCTGGAAGTTCGTAATCACGGACGCACTTCCGGTCCAGAAATGGGAGCACCGGATACTTCCGCAATATTTCTGTGAAAATGCACGTTACATGGTCAACCATTGTCAGTTACATAAAATATAATCATATCCTACAACCTCCGGTCTAGAAAACCGAGATTAACGGCTGTGGGAATCCGTCGCACTGACCACGCGACGCCCTCTATCCGCAGAAGTTGACACTAACTTCGCTGACAAGCGGCGGTCGCTCGGTCGGTATAGTTCGCTTGTGGACTGAAAGCCACGGATTTCGTTCCCACAGCCATTGCCATAGCTTTTCTAGCTATGCCCTAGACCAGATGGTTTTCTTCTTCTTATCCCTTTCTCAGCAGAACGTGAACCTCCCCTCACTCTCTGCAGCTAAAGAAATTACTATCTAAGTTAATAGCCCAGTCATAATAAACAGCAGGCTTCTTATTTAAGTAACCCCCTCATCAGAATTCTGCGATGTGAATACGTACATATGGACACCTACGTTTTCTTAATGGTGAGAAAAATATTGTCAAGATTCAGGGGTGTCACTATGGACGGGGTAGGGAAGGATGAATGATTTATTGACCACTTGAATACACCACTCGTAACTACACGTAATTACAGCGCTACCGCTGATCTCCACATTTTAAAAATCACCACAGCATCTGCTAATCCATTTCCAGCCTGTTATGTCTTAACCAGCCGTTCCCTGGCAAGAGCTTCTAACGGTAGAAATTCTTCAGCTTCCCGCACTCAGATCCTTCCTTCAAGATTCCAGGTCAGAACTGACTGCACAAATATCAACCTAAGTGGCTGTCCCAGTTCTCTTGTTTATAAGCCTCGGCACGGACCGCGTAGGCAACACCCCGTTTGCCCCGTTGCACGCTTAACCATTGTCTCGGGAACGTGTGTACCGATCCGTTGCTAGAAACCCATTGCATAACACTGTCGTTTATTCGCCTAATGCATTGCTGTTCGCTCTACAATATGAAGATCTGTTCCTACCTTAAGTCACATTCAAGTAAATAGCACATCTGCTTCGAATTCGGAAAGTAAGGGGTTAAATTTAATTCTTTTTAATTCGCTTAGTGGGGGGTGGAGTCCAACTGGGTCCACTCGGCACGGCGACCATTGATTGGCCTATTGTAGCCTGCCCCGGGTGATCATGATGATGGAGAATTTGGTGGAATGAAGATTTGCAGGGGAAACCGAAGTACTCGGAGAAAAGCCGCCCCAGCGCCACCTTCTCCACCACTCCCACTTGACCAGACCCGGGATCGAACCCGGGCCACCGCGGTGGGAAGCCAGCGACTAACCGCTTGAGCTATGGGGCGGCCAAGTGAGGGGTTAATATCGACCAAAATACCCTATCTCCTTGCTGATTAGCTTCGTGATCTCAGTAGTTTTGGGAACATGCTAGGATAGCCAATTGAAACCTGAAATACCGCCTAGATGGTTATGGTGACCATTGTGATTGATTCCATATTGGCATATAGTTCACAAGAATCAGGCGTCCGTCGGAAATAAAATATAAGCTGTTCAGTTCAGATGTGTCGGGCATAGTGACGTAACAGAGGCGAAATCGGGATGTAGCTTACCTGGTTCGAGTCTTGGCTGGGATTAAAGTATTTTTCTCATTCCCTAAAGACGAATCGAGTGACAACTCCTGAAAGGAAGTCACTACGATGGCTTTTCCGGTCCCTTTCTACTGCAGTAACAAAGTTTTGCTTATTTCAATTGAAATGGCTTCTTCAGTGAACTTAAGTCACTGAGCAGAATCTACTGCGTAAAATGAATATAGGTCCTCGGATTTCAACAAATTTCCGAACAACGTGTAACCTGAAGAATGCCGTCTTCTGGAATGTGGTGCAGTGTAGATCTTGTGCGAACCAACGTTTCGGAGGAACATATCGCCTCCATCTTCACGGTATAAAATCCGCGAGAAATGGCCCAGCGTGAGCAGGTGACTAGGAGTCGGTTCACACAAGAACCACACGGCGCCACATCCCAGAAAACGGCATTCTTCACAAAACATGGCTGTGGAAACCGCAAATCCTACAAAGTGTAGCCTCTGTCCAGTCCCTTACCAGAGACCACCATATCGAGGTACGACATCTCCTGCATCCCGTCATACGTCAGTTCTCCGCTGTGTTTGCGCAGCACCTGGGCTATCTCCGTCCTCAGCCTGCGCTGAATGCGTGGTTGCAGTGCAAGCTCGAACAGTGCGAAGCTCATTGTCGTAGCCGACGTCTCGAAGCCCGCAGCCAGAAATGCGAATGCTTGAGCCACAAAGTCATCGCCATCAATTTCTGAAAAACGAAATCATGTGCCCCTAATATCGTCTGTGAAAGCTACTGGTCAGCTTCCATGAGAAATCTGTAGTCTGTGTTGTTAGTTCCTCCTGCTCCAACGGGGTTGCTCACGTTTATGTCTATTTCATTAATGTATCCTAAGTCATTTATAGCCGGTCACTGCTCGCTCGGAAGCCTTGACCGTTGGTTCGAACCCCACACAAGGCATGGATGTTTGATGTGTGTATGCGTTTATTCTGTGTTTCTGTTATCATTTGTTTACGTAGATGCCTTGCGACGAGCTGATCACTCGTCCAAGGAGTCTCACCGTCTGTAACATGATCAATGAAACTGAGAAATCAGCCCTATGCCCCAAAGTGGGAGCGAAGAGGGAGAAAAAAAGTCAGCGATAACAATTTAACAATTTAAATATGCATATAAGATCCAAAACACTCAAAATTAATCCTGTCTATTCATCTTCTTGATTTCAGCAAGATTTCACAGAACAATGACTCTAACCGTGACTCCTAGCATATTTCTATGAGCGGGACGCCTTAGTCAGTAAAATGGCCTGCTATTAATTTGGATATTGGAATTCAATTTCGGTTAGGGACAGAAATTTTTCTTTCGCTATTACCAGGCTGGTTCTGAGGCCCAAACACACTTATAATAAACAGTTTTCTTTCTCCTAGGGCACAGCGCCCAGAACTCGAACTGATGACACATTCCTGCCTCGTTGGAGATATAGAATGCAACAGAACACGCTCTCTGCTTGGATTCTTTGTTCGTTGCTGGTGTCGATACCTTCTGATGCTAAAAACAGTTGTTCTGAGGAGAGTACAGATAATCTCCGCTATATATTTCATTTCAGTGCTTCTCCATTGCAAGTGCGTTGCATTTGTTACTGCTGGGCGCGTTGGCTACGAAAAGCTACAAAATATATCTGTTAGCTTCGACATATCTGTCCCTCCATCCATCTGTCTGTCCGTCGTTATGTAACAACTTGGGAACTACTAAAGAGTTTTCATTAAACATTACTAAAGTATATTTACCTATTCCAATTTTGGTTGATACGCGACAAATATAATAGAAAATTCGTACGAAAACCTGAGCGTATTTCTGCGTGGATCTCGATATTAACTCGCCAAATATTTATCGAAACGAAAAAATGTTGCGATCATGAGTTGTAGAGAAAAATGTAACACATATCTTATACCTCGTACCACTTTTTAGCTTCTCAGTTTTCAAGATGATGAAACGAAAGATATTTCTGTCCTGTGTAATATTATAAATGAAGAACGCCTGGACTGAATTGGCAGTTCCCATCTTCCTTACCTATTTATATTATTTATAAAAGGGCAGCAAGTTTTGGCATTGAAGAACTGAACATCTGGAAACGAATTTGGCAGAAATGTCGGACTGAGGTTACATTTTCCAGCTTATCAAGCAAATGGCGGAACAGCACCGCGTACAGGAAAGGGGACGATCTCTGGACAGCAGTGACGTCACAGCCAAACTTAAAGAACTTACTGAATTTCGGAGAGTCCTTCTGACCATTTTCTGGAGAGTCAGTTTGTGTAATGTGCTTGCCCCTATTTCTCAATTCAATCATGCTATCCAAAAAGTCCTTTCGGTCCATCCCATGTTTCTCCCTGAAAACAAACGGAAGGTACAATAATATTGTCCTAAATACGTCTGCAAAAGAAAATTGTCTATTTATTCTTTCACATAATAGAATGCAATTGTTTAACTAAATTCATATTCTGAATCCATACTGGACTCTAAGTTGCAGCTTATATTTTATTTGAAACCCTATCTTTGAATTCATCCGGATAAATACCTGCCAGACATAAAGCAAGTAGACATAACATAGTAAACATCTTCTGCAGCATCATATTTTAGCAGTGTACTGATTTCGATAAAGTTTGGAATAATACACGTGATTAATTTACTTATTAAGTTGTGGAAATGATTACCAGGAACTTAAAGCTGCACTGAAAACTCCCAACTTATGGGAAATTAAACAGCTCACAGTCCAGTTAGAATACTAGGAAGACATAAAAGGATCGTGTTTTCGGATGTTTTTACCTCTCACGTGCGTAATGTAGTCCTATAAGAGAAAGCATCGCGATACTGAAGACAATCCAACCTCAAGATTTTGAAGACTTCACCGTGTTTTGCCCCCCCCCCCCACCCGTAATGTAAAAAGTTCTTTTTCTAATTCCATCCGTCTTTCTATCAGTATCTGTCCGTATATGTCAATATATGTATGTGTGTATGTACTCGTATACATGAATCTGTGAATATTTCATTGTGCACCTCGCTGGCTCCTCAACTTCGGACAGTTTTATTCATGTTGTGCGTGTAATAGTTTATCTTTCATAATTCGGTGCCCCGTGAACGCGAACATTCTAGCTCCAAAAATAAGGTCAACTCGGTCTGGCCGCAAAGAACATCGCATCGATTTTCTAGAGCGCAGCTCTAGCGGTTTCGACTAAATTTCAGTACTTCATGAATATTATCTCGCTAAATGACACCACATTCTTAGTATCTTCAGGAAAACAAAGTGTGCCCACGGGGCGATCAACCGCAAGATGACGATTTTCTAGAAACCGGTTTTACCGGTCGGAAGAATTTCATTGCTATCGGTTATTCCGTGATCAGCGACAATCCATTTCTCTTCCGACGTATAGTGGTCTAGGTCAGTGTTTGCAGTGCTTTGAACCGATATCTCTGCTTCTAATGATATTTTGAATGTCTCTCATTAATGGATTCTTGAAAACTTTTCAATTGTGAACTTAAGTCATTTGAAGAATACATTCATGAGCTTGCTGCCTGCTTCTGCTGGTTGCTTGCTTGGTTTTTCCTTCGATCCTGAAAATTGAAGTAACAAGCTCCTCCGAAACGTCTGTCTCCAAATTAATCTGCGTTACAACTCAGAAGCCAACGCCGTGAGTATCTCAGATCCAACATGGATACATTTATTTCAGAATAAGGACAGGATGACGGTTCTTGTGAAGAGGCAAAGGAATATCCGGGTTGCATAAGTTTGCGGAGTTTCATCAATAGTTCGGCAAGCATTAGCTTCCTGAGAAGAACTTCGCTCCGTTCAATTGATTTCAAATGCTCTATGCAGAATTGTACCAATGTGGTGAATAGGGAACACTATCGTATTGTTACAAAATGAGTAGAAATCGGCTTTCTCTGCGTTCCATCTCAACCTATCGGTTTGTTAATAATGAAAATTTTAATGTAATGCTAGAATGCGAAGAACTGTATTGTCTTTATTGTACACTCTTCAAGGAGTGAATCCCGTCGTTTTATCACTGTCAATATATAGTATATATATCCGGGGTCCCGCGATAGTGTAGTTGGTTGAGGCACTATGTTATAAGACGGAAGTTCGCGGATCGAATCCCGATGAGGTGGATTTTTTCAATTTATTTAATCCTTCCAGTCGCACTATGGCCCTGGGGTCGACTCAGCCTCTAACGGAAATGAGTACCAGGAATCTTCCCGGGGGTAAAGGGCGGCCGGCGCGTAAGGCTGACAACCTCTCCGCTACCTATGAGCCAACTGTCTAGAAAATGTGGGAACCTCAACATCTCACAACCCTATGGGCCTCCACGGCCTGTTAAAGGGATGCCTTTACTTTGTTTACTTATATATATATCCATACATTGATTTTTACCGTCGACACAACAGATCTACCAAATAATTCGCAATAAAATAATTTAAGTTTATAGAATGTATCGTCTGAAGACGTCTTCATGAAAAGCCGAAACATGTAGCGAAATTATATTTTAACCCAAATAAGCGCACAATTAGTGTGAGCGAATTATCTGGTAGATTTGTTGTGTCGACGGTAAAAACCAATATACCGCATTTACGCATGTATAGGCCGCACATTTTTTGCCCAAAATTCAAGAGGAAAACTGAGGTGCGGCTTATATTCGAAATATTCGAAATCACACTTCATTTAAAAAAATTATATTCATAATTAGTAATACAGAGTGTTCTACTCCTGAAATAATATTCCAAAGAAAATTATTTTTTCTATAATTTCTGTCTGAAAATTGTGCTGCGGCCTATACACGCACGCGGCCTATACATGCGTAAATACGGTATATATAGACTTTATTGTGCACGTTTATATATGAGATTCAATTAGGAATGACCAGCCCTCTCTATAAATCACTTTCCACGAAATGTTGCTAAAAAGACAGAAGGACTCACCTGTACTCCACAGTACTCCACACCGTTCTTCTAATAAAATCGGAAGTCGAGTTATCCACGTACTTCGGCCTGAACAGTTTCGGGAGAGACGACGGAAAGAACGCCATCAGTATGGAAAATTCCTTCATAACTGATGAGCCGAATACATTCCGTAAGTGGTACCTAAACTCGGCGTCGGGGTTCTTGAGCGAATTGCTGTCAATGCCGAAGGCACATGACGCTATCACGTCGGTTGTGAACCTGGCCATCGCCTCTTTCACCTCCACGGAGGATCCTATCAACATCCAGAGATACAGAGAGAACCTCTCCCTTCGAGCACTACATCAAACTTCGGGAAGTGCAAAGAATATCAGGATAGGAAAACAGTGACTGGGCCCTTCGAAGGGATAGTTCAAAACGGTATATACACGTATCAGGAAGATTCTTATAACGCAAGCTACTGGACGGTACACACTATTTCTTTTATTGCTTGTGGGGTGGGACTAAGTCTCTTGTACTGAGGCCACTTCTGGCCTGTTGTACCAGCCCCAGATGATAGGTGAGGGTGATTGTGGAGCAATTGGTGGAATGAAGATTGGCAGAGGTAACCGAAGTACTCGGAAAAAACCCTGCCCCAGCTCTACTTTGTCCACCACAAATCCCACTTCACCAGACCCCGTGAACGAACCCGGGCCGCGCGGTGGGAAGCCAGCGACTAACAGCTTGAGCTATGGAAACGGTACCGATTATGACGACACGCAACATTTCAACTCAGACACCGAATTCAAGATTTCTCACGTATTCGCCATACAAAACCGAATCTCTCTCCTAAAATATAAAAATTGCTATTCCTGCTTTTGGTAAATACTAAGCCTGTGTTTCGTTTTAACTGAGTTCTTCATCATAGCAAATTTTGTGCTAACGCTCCAGTACTTACCAGCCTCGAACCCGATTGTCATGTCACATATATCTGAATAGGTCGGAACCCTGTTCTGCCTTTCAGCAGCGGGCCGCCACGAAATATAATTTATTTATATGAGCTAAGAATCTCAAAGCCGGTCACGGTAGCTGCGCTGTCTAAGGCATGGACTGTGTCCGCTCGCTCAGACGCTGGGATCGTGGGTTCGAATCGCACTTGGGAGCATGGTTGTTTGGCATGTGTATGCCTTTATTCTGTGTTTGTGTTGTCCTGTGTTTAGGTAGCGGCCTTGCGACGGGCTGATCACTCGTCCAAGGAGTCCTAACGTCTGTGAAAAATGATTACGGAACTGAGTAAGTGGCCTGGGCCCTGAATGGACTGGAAGAGATTTTGAAAAATAAAACACAGATATCCTGTATTTTCTGGATCACATGGACCGCCTCTGTGGTCTAGTGGTCAGAGTTCCTGGCTACAGATCCATAGGTTCCGTGTTCGATTCCCGGCGCTACCAGATTTTCTGAGAAGTAGTGGGTCTCGAACGGGGTTCACTTAGCCTCGTGAAGATAACTGAGGAGCTATTTCAAGTAAAGAGCGGCTCCGGTCTAGAAAACCGGCCGTGGGGGTTCGTTGCGCTGACCACGTGACACTCTCTGTCCGCAAAAGTTGGAACTAACTTCGCCGACAAGCGACGGTCGCTCGGTCGGTATAGTTTGCTTGCTGACTGCAGGCCACGAAGTTTGTTTTTTGTTTGCTTTCTGGATCAGGTACAACTACTGTGCCAAAATAAATTATTTCAATGTGTCCGTTTCAAAGAAACATACAAATATATTTCATGTTTAAAAAAACAATTAGTGTACTTACAGTTCTGCATATGTGGTAGTTCGTGATCAAGTAACTACCTTACGATTACGAAGAGTATGCGGCTTACCGTTAGCGGTGGCTCTGTCGAGATAATCATCAAGTTCCTCGGCGCATTTCTTCACCAAGTAGAACATCTTCTTCATCTTACCCGACGTAAAAACGGGAGTCAAGTTTACTCTGATATGGCGCCAGCGTTGCCCCTTCAGTGTGAACATTGTTTTCCCAAATAAGGGGTCTACCACTTCGTTAAAAGTGATGACGCGATCGGCGAAGTTTTGTGAGTCCTTCACCAGAATATTCTTTACAAGTTCCAAATCACGGATCAGCAAACTCGGCTGATCGAATGAGAATAAACCAACATAGGGTACGTCCTTGTATTCATCATAGATCTTCTGGAGATGGTGCCCTATACCGATCTTTTGGAACACCAGTTCCTTGAGATTGCCCACAAATGGCGTGGGTTTTAAGTAAGGGATACCACGTTTCTTCCAGAAGTTGAAATTTCTAGTGAAATAAAGGTAGACGCCAGTAAAGGCAGCTGTAAAAATAGCTATGATACTGAGTGTTACTGACTCGAACAGCAGAACCATTCTTGAGAAGAAATGCAATATGTTGTCTGAAGATTTATTTCGTGATCAAATTAGAATCTTAGTTCTCAGAGAAATTGTATTCCAAATTGAAACATTAGTGTTTCACTGTAGGAGCGTTGCAGTGTCTCTCTTATTCAGAATTTGTTATTTTTAGATTGCTCTTCTCTGGTAATTCGATTTGAAGATAGTTTATTTTCCCTCGAATCAGAAGTAATTCTAGAATATGTGCGAAGTACAGCCAGATGCTGCAGAATCTGTTGTACAGTGAATACTAAATGTGTCCTGTAGGCTGCGATGTGAAAATCGGCGAAACATTAAGCATAAAAACTTTTACAAATTAATAGTCACAAAAAATTAACTGCCTCATTAAGTATAATTACAGCAGTAAGACTCGACACGAACGTTCGGAGTTATTTTTTTAAATATAACCGACATATGTAACATGATTCAATAGGATTCTGTACGTCGTGTTTTAAATTTTAAGTATCCGAAAATATTTTAGAAATACGTACCTAGACGATGCAAAGAAATGGATCAGCAGCTCCTAATGAAGAAGTAATATTTGTCAATATTTCTGTGGTCCAGTATCGTCAATGTATGGGATGAACGAAGTTTAATTGTACTTACAACTCCGTGGCTTTAGTCCGCAAGCGAACTATACCGACCGAGCGACCGCCGCTTGCCGGCGAAGTTAGTGCCAACTTTAGAGAGTGTCACGTGTTCAGCGCAACGGATCTCCATGCCCGTTAATCTCGGTTTTCTAGACCGGAGCCGCTATTTCCTTGAAATAACTCCTAAATTATCTTCACGAGGCTGAGTAAATCCCGTTCCAGACCCACTACTTCTCAGAAAATCTGGTAACGACGAGAATCGAACCCGAGACCTCTGGATCTGTAGCCAGGAACTCTGACCACTAGACCACAGAGGCGATCTGTTACTTAGACATATATGTTTTATATACGGTAAGATGTTCGTAGAGATTGACATAAAAATTTTACGCACCTTACCTTATTACATAAAATATGAAGACAGCAAAGTAAAAGCCATAATTTAATAGCGTATTTGTTATCCTTCTCAATACTTAATTCTGATCTGTCTATATGAAATAAAAGCTTAATTCATTTACCTTCTATACAACTAGGCGGATAGTCACTACACAGAAAAATGGTACAAAACTGCATTTTTATTACGAGAAAAGTGATTGTGTTTTTAGTTTTCTCATCTTACTGTTAGCAGTTTCCCGATAAATTTGACGTGTGATTTTAGGGCAAAGAATGCCTATTTGAACTGTACCCTCTTTTCTTAAAAACTGTTAAACCATCCAGAGATCCAAAATGTGGGTCCAGTGTAGTAACAAAGTAAGGACAGCTGTCCCTGTGCTGAAACACGCACCGTCCCGTGCAGAGCAACGGCTACACAGAGTTTACTCGCGCATTCTTAACCTCTTATTCATCATGAAGCCATAACATTCTTTAACCGCAACCAATTGTTTTGTTTTTAAACAGCATTTTATTTTTATTATTTTTTTGCGGAAAATCTTTCTGTACTTTTATTGTATAGGAGTGAACAAACTCCCTGGTTCAGAGTCCCCCTAAGCACTTAACAGTCTGTTTTCTTCCCAGAACTTATTCTTTCTTCTATGCTATTCTAATTCTTGGTTACATTTATATATGGATAGGGAATTTTTAAAAAATTGTAATTAAACTAATAATCACAAATATTTGGATTTATTGGTCTGTAATTATTATTACACGAGACATGTGTCACATTTGCTTCAACGTCTCGCTTACATGGAATTCCCTTTTTTTACTTCTAGGATATTTGTATCTGTTTGTTTACTGCTATCAAGTGTAGAATAATTACTTTGTTGTTGAAATATTGGTTTACGTAAGTAGTCTCTCGTGGTTTTCCAAGAAATTCTAATTATACATAAACGAGACAAGCAAATTGGGAAGGCACACGCAATATAATGCGTCTTTTACACGTGAAAGGACGAGATCTGTTTCGAAATATCCCCTTATTTGCTACATAATAATACATGACTTTATACAAGCGACGAGTACTTGGCATAATTATGCCGTCCGTGCGTGTAACAAAAACTGGTACCGATTCCTAAGAGAGACGCCAGAGGTCAGAAGATAATGACCAAGAGAATCTCTCTTTACAAGTAGACTACTCTCTTCCAGTATAAGTCTCCCGTAAAACAAGTTTTCATTTATACGTAAAACGATTTCCTGCATTCTTATAATTCTCGAAGGGTTCGTAGCTTAGTTCATTCTAAACCAAACAATTAGTACAGACCTACTTCACTGTGCCTTTGTGGTCTAAGTTTCCTCGTTCTCGTCTTTCCTCACCGATCAGCAGAATAACAGTGGGTTTTCCAAAGATTGTGGTCTGTCTGTCTTATATCGTGCAGATATGAAAGCAAGACGTTATGTGGAGAGCTCATCGCCTGCTTTCCATTGATACGATACGGACAGCGTGGCACGTAGTAGCGTAGTTGGTTGAGGCACTATACTACAACCCTGAAGGTCGCAGACTTGATTTCCGACGAGGTCATCGGATTTTTCAATTGACCTAATCTTTCTAGCCACACTATGACCCTGGGGTCGACTCAGTCTCTGACAGAAATGAGTACCAGGTATTTTCCTGGGGATAAAGGGCGGCCGGCGCGTAAGGCTCACAAATTTACCGCCATCTTTGAACCGACTGTCTAGAAAATGTGGGAGCCTCAACGTCTCGCAACCCTATGGGTCTCCTCAGCCTGTTACAGGAATAACTTCACTTTTTTACGACACGGATGACACAGAAAAAGAAGCCTCCAACAATTCTTTGTTGTCGCGGAAACATTTTTACCTGGTTGTTACCTAGCAACGATGGGGAAAAGTACACAAACAGACCCACAGACACACACGTCTAACAATTCTTCCAGTGTTGAGAGTGTTCGTTGCAACGGAACGTGTTTACCGAGCCGTTGCCTAGCATCGATATGCGTGAATGCACATAGAGACAGAGTGACGGGAGGGATTTATGAAGTACGCTCTTGATATGGGCTCAGTTGCCACAACATACATACTAATTTCCTTAAAGATTAATTCAGGCATTCAGAAGTTAATGGAGAAGGAGGGGCTTCATAGACACGCAGACAACATAGAGGTCACATAAGCATATTTTTATTTTCTTCAGAATAAGGAAAGCAGGCTAATAACTGGCTTCAAGTACGAGTACGTATTCTATTAGGATGTACAAACATGTTTATTTACGAAGAAACTATCTCCTGTTGCGTGATGTCGTGTGGCCCCTTAGGTATTTACCTACGTTTCGGAAGAGTTTGATGCCTCCATTTTCAGGGTTGAATATGTACATGTATTTACGCGCACATGCACATACAAACGAGTCACTCATCAAAATGACACTCACGATGGAAACAGAGACTCCCTCCGAAACTCTGGATGCTGACCCAGTTCTGGCGCGGCTCATCGCCCGAGACTTCATGAAGTTAGCTTGTGGTACTTCCAGGCAATCTATGTATGATATCCTGCAGCCTGTGAAATATAGCGCAAAAACACAAACATAAACAGAAAGGCATCTACATTTCTGGGTTCACATGACGCATATTTATTTCAGGAGAAAAATTATTTTCTAAACACCTACTAAATTCAACATTAGAAAAGGAATCATGCATCAGTTGCAAACAGGCGGAAACACTCGATAAATCAATTGCCAAATTTATCGTTTAGCTTCGTGTTACATGATGGATCTCTGTGTTAGTCAGTACTACACAGCAGGAATATACAAAATGGCCGGATTGTGTATGAGCCTGAGAAACTCACTCGTTGAATGAGATTATTCACACGAGTGAAGCAACTGAATTCTGGATGGTACCTAGGATTAGCTGACTTATCTACTTATTTACCATCAGTAACACAATGTCTAATATTTCTATTTGTTATAATTATGCTGGTATGGTTTCATTCTTCCCATGACAGCTGTCGTTCTCACCGCAGCCGACATAAATTCATGACATAAAACATTGTAAAATTTCTTATGAAACGGACTCTACAAAACATTGACTTTTGTTGAGAATTAGTAGTAATCATTTAAGGAGATATTCGTAAAATTAAATTTAGCTCGCAACTGAAGCGTTAATTCTAGTTCGTTCAGAAGTTAATATCTTATAACTTCCGTATAAATGATTATATTGTCCGGTATGAAGTTTCGATAGAACACTTTTTTTTTCAACAGGACCCCCGATGTGGCGGGGAATCTGTTTAGACCTACATGCAGATTATTCTCGCATTACGACTCGAAACACAAATTCAACAGGTCAAATTGTTGAAACCAAAAAGATGAAAAGAAAGCCAATCGAATAACTCCATTCACACGGTCCTGGCACTGGGTGTGGACAGTATCATATAACATGCGCGCGCCTGTGTGTGCGTAATACGTCTCGGCCTTCGAGTTATAATTACTTAAGTTATTAATGCTATTTTACGTTTATTTTGCCATAGCTGAGAAATTACTACTTTGCAACTAATGACCCTCTTTCGAGTTTCGATTCCTGTGAGCTACTAAGTAGTTCGTGCATAACGCAATCAACTGCTTTCTTTCTCAACTCCCGGCTTTGAGACGATTACCGGTATGACCGGCTGACCTGTGACGAAGGGAGGGCTCTTAGATTTCGTGGTCGATTGTTCCAACCTTCAGAAAATGGGAGTAGAACAACCATTTGAAATCCGGATCCTTGGAAAGCGTACTTCTCGTCACATTACTGCAAGTGTCCTCATCTGTAATATTCAGTTGTCAAACGTTAAACTTATTAAGTATTATAATAAATTAGCGAAACATGCATAATGAGGCGCTTCATTATATGTGTTCTTCATTAGATATTATTAAAAAAATTAAATCGAGGAAGGTATGGTTGGCGAGGCGTGTAGCATGGTTGGAAGAGATGAGACATGCACACAGATTTCTGTTCCGAAACCCTGAAGAGAAAAGTCTACTTGGTGTATGTATTTGCGTACAGGATGATAATACTATTTTTTTATTGCTAGTAGGGTGGGACTAAGTGCCTTGTACTGCGGCCACTTCTGGCCTATTGTACCAGCCCCAGATGATAGGTGAGGGTGATTGTGGAGCAATTGGCGGAATGAAGATTGGCAGGGGAAACCGAAGTACTCGGAGAAAACCTGTCCCAGCGCCACTTTGTCCACCACAAATCCCACTTGACCAGAACCGGGATCGAACCCGGGCCGCTGCGGTGGTAAGCCAGCGAC